GTGAGTTTGCAGCTAACAAGAGCTGCAAAGAAATGAGTAGTGCTGAGAGAGTAAGAGGGGAACTTGAGCTAGGCCCGGTGGACAGGGGGCTCCCTTAAAAAGCGGTGTTGTACTGAAACATGAGGGGCGATAAAGAGGTCATTCGGAGTGTTCATGAGGGACTTGAGTGTGCAAAAGCCCCGTGGGGAGAGAGACTGTGATGCAATTAGGTAACTGAAAAGAGGCGAGGAGCGAGGGAGAGTAAGAGATCCAAGTGATGCTGGAGGCATGGTCTAGGGCCAGGCCACACCCTGTATGTCCTGGCTAGGATGTTCATTTGGGCAGCAGTTGAGGATTCAGGTGCTATGCTGGGGTGAGCATGGGCACTGTGGCAGGGTGTGGTAGTGGGTCCAAGAAGGTGGGTGGTGTCATTCAATGTGGGAAAAGGCACTGGTGAGCACTGGGCCTCAGTCTGTCAGACTGGATTCATGAGGTCAAGGCCATGACAAGGAGACCAGAGGTGGCCAGGACAGCCCCCAATCCTTGCCAACCTCTGGGCTCCCCAGGGTCAGGTGCCCACCCTGATCTCTTCCTGCTGCAGTGGTGGGCCCAGTAGAGCCACTGGGCCCAGTCTCCCAATTCCTCTTCTCCTACTTCCTCTTAGAAGTAGGGTGGGCTTCCTCAGAGACCCCAGGGAAAGCAGGCACAGACTGGGAAGACCCCCAGCCTGAATCAGTCAGGCCCAGCTGGAGCAGAATGCATGTAACAGTAGCGTAGGATAGGTTCTGCCATTTGCCAGCCCTGTGGCCTTAGGAGCCTTGCTTCCAGGACCTTTGGTTGCTTCATCTGTAAGTGGGGACAATTGTCATAATACCTTCTTTGGAGGCCTTTGTGGGCTGTGTGCATGAGCTTACCCAGTGCCTGGCTCATAGGAAGAGTGGCATAGACTGAGCTGTCGTCATCTGTTGGAGGCTGAAGTTCCCCAGGGCTGCTCGCCCAGGAGAGGGGCCATCCCTGAAGAGAGGTAGAGCTTAGGAGTAAAAAGCTCCTTCCAGGCACAGCTACTCCCTGTTTGTCCAACTTGTTCCAGAAGATATCAGGTCCTCAGGTTGGGACAATGATATCTCTCTCTCTCTTTCCCTCTCTCTGCTACTCCTGGCTCCTGGCCCACATGGGGGCTGACAAATATTAACTGATGCTGATGGAAACACTCCCTGTCAAGGGGACAGCTCATTGTGTGCCTACACATGGAAAACACTGGCTCTTTCTGTCCCTGCCAGCAGAGAGGGAGAGGCTGGGTGCAGCCTAATCCAGCCAACATACGCCTCCGCCTCCAAGAAGGCCCCCGGAGCTGGAGCTGGCATTGCTAACAGGGCTGCTCCCTTGTCGGCTGAGACCCAGAGAAGGCTGAGAGACCAGAAGCAGTGAGGCTCAGGGCTCTCCACGCAAACTCCATGCAGCCTCTGGCCCTGACCTCCCACTGTCCCCAGTGGGTTCAAAGATAGGTTTGCACCCAGGGCCAGGCCCAGCCCTGTTAACGGAGGCCTGCAGCTTAGTAGTAGCCACAGCAGCTACCAGGCAGGGGACCTAAAAATAAGCCATCCCTCCAATAAATAAGGCACTGGCAACCAGGAGGTAAAGACACATGAATCCAAGAAGCAAAACAGATGTACAATTCCACTTGCCCCCACTCTAACCAGCTCCCCACCCCGGTCTCCACCCCTCTGTAATGGCCCTATGGTTCATCTGCAGCCCTGGCCGTGATGGAGGCTCAGGGTCTAGTCTTGGTCAGTGGAAGCTCTGCTCCTTCTGCCTAGGCCTGGAGGGTGTTTGGGAACTGCCCCATGACAACATGGTGGGTGCTGATTGGGGAGACGTGGACTGGGGACTTGGTCACCCCCACCATGAGGGTTCCCAGACAGCCTTCCTCAGGGCTAAGCATTGTTCTCCTGGGAACATCTCCAATGAGGGCAATTATAGCAACAAAGCTTGGCAGAAGTAGACACTCACACAGGCAGAGCGTCCTCTGGGACAAGAGGCTGGTGTGCTTAGATCTGGGGAAGCTGGAGTTAGAGTCGTGATTCATAAAGGGGACAGTTCAGGTGCCTTGGCAGGCCTGTGGCCCTGGCCCCAGTTAACCTTTCATCATAATGTCATCTTTAATGGGCTCTTGTGGGGTTTATACGTGCACAGTGTTTAACCCTGTGCCTGACACATGTTATTTAGGGGTTAATAAAGGTGAGTTTATCTCAAAAGCTGAAATATGGGATGACTTCAGGTCCCAAAGCTGAGTCAAATCACCTGGCCTACCTGGCACCTTCCCACTTCCCAAGTCAGAGCTCTCAGAACAGAAGAATGTTGGTCAGGGGCTGCGTCTCCTGGTGGCATATGGGGTGAGACCAGACCCTAAAGCCAGAACCCCCAGGACAGCCTGAGAAGCTCGTAGGGCCCAGAGTTCCAGGTAGGGGAGGAACCTCCAGACCACACAGCTGCCCCACCAGCTTTCCTCCAGCTTTCAAGCTGTGTTTGTCTACAGGATTTAAGTCAGCCGACAATATGTGTAATCCCATAATGAGTATTCATCTGCTCAGACAATGTGTGTAATCCCATAATTAGCATTTATCTGCTTGAAGCCCAACTGCTGCCCCCCTCTGTTCCTGGGGTGCTGCAGAGCCAGCTAAGGGCCCCCCATGAAGCCCTGTAGTGAGGCCAAAGTCAGGGGTCAGAGGGGAATAGGAGTGAAGGCAGGAGGCTGGGCAGCATGACATGGGGCCCAGGGCCTGCCACGTCCTGGCCAGGTGCTGGTGGGCCAGCCGAAGACCCTCCCTGGGTCTGGTTTCCTCATTAGAAGGCAGAATAAGAAACCTGCTCCACCCAGCCCAGAGCTGCCAAGAGGATTAAAGGAGATAATATCGAGGGGGCTGCAGCCACACAGAGGGAAAGCTGTTGTGAAAGACAAATAAAGTATAAGGTGACAGATGCCAAGTGCTAGAGACCATGAGTGCCGTGGGGACAGCTGCCTCTAGCCACTTGCCTGCCTGGGGGTAGTAGGACGGGCGGCTTCCTACATACCTGCTGCTGTCAGGATGCTTCTTGGTCTTGTTGCCCTAAGAGCTGAGCATGGTGGGGAGCTGCCTGGGGAGGTGCAGGATTCCTCATTTCTCCCCTAAGCCACCACTGCCTCCCTAGCCGGCCCAGCCCCAGCAACCCGAAACCGCCTTCCGTCTCTACATTGGTCATTCTGGACATTTAACGTAAATGGGTCATGCGATATGTGGTCCTTGCTTTTTCAAGGTTCATCCACATGACAGCTTCTATCAGAACTTCGCTCCTTTCCATGGTTGACTAATACTCCAAGGTGTGGAGACACCACATCTGTTTATCCCATTCAGTGGTCGACAGGGCTATCCACTATCCATTTTGGGGGTATCATGAATGATGTTGTTAGGCTATAAGGATCCTTATAGAGAGGGTGCTTGTTAAAATGCAGATTCCAGGATTCACTCCCCCAGAGACTCGGACTCTGTGGATCTGAGAGGTTCCGAGAATCTGCCTGTTACAGTCTTCCTGTGTAACTTTGGTGGAGGCATCTGCAGGCCCTTCGGGAGTCACAGCCTTAGACTGTATTCTAGGTCACACCCCCACCCATCCTGAGCCTGGGGTCCTTAGAGTCCTATAGTCAGGTAGGGATTTTACCAGGTACACCAGCCAGGTATAGCTCTGTCCTAAGTAGCCAGCCGGGCCTTGGTGGCTTTTTGAGCTCGGGGGCG